CTCACCCCTGTAATCCTGCCATGGCACTTTAGGCATCAGCCCCCTCCTGAATCAGTCAACTCTTTAGCTTACAAAAGGTGCCATCACTTTCGAGATTCACAAGGGTTTTAGGAGATGTATGCCAGGGAAGGGGAAGATGACTAAGCCGGTATTTTACAATATCACAGCCCTCTTCCTTTTTGATATCTTCACAGTTATTTCCATGTTCAGAAATAGAACCCTAAACTATCTTTACAGATCTTCCCACAGTTCTGATAGTCTTAAGGAACCCCAGATATACTTGCATTCTGCTGAGACTTTTATAATAATGGAATTTTGTTTGTGTACTCCATATTCCCTCTATCTTAAGTGTGTTCTATCTGCCCACATAGGCTGTCACACTCTGTGAGTAACAATTTCTTCCATGTAAATAACAACAAAATAACTTTTTCTACTTTACCACAGCAGAGGGGAATATAAATGGGCAATTTTTTAAAATTGATTTCTATACAGGTTTAAGGTATGCAACATGACATTTTGAAATGTAATACATAGGAAAATGATTGCTACAGTCAGATAAATGAACATATCTATCACCTTTCATTTTAATATTTTAAAATGTTATATTTGCAAAATTAGGTAAAGCTATTTGCTTCCTTGAAAACTGTTAGCATGTAAGAGGTAAAGGTAAAAAGGTTATGTGTGTGGGTGGGTGTTGTGGAATAGCTCGTTAAGCCACCACCTGCAATGCTGACATCTCATATGGGCATCGGTTCAAGTCCCGGCTGCTTCACTTCTGATCCAGCTCCCTATTAATGCACTTGGAAGACAGCATAAGATGGCCTAACTGCTTGGGCACCTACATCCACCTGGGAGACCCAGACAAAGCCCTTGGCTTCAGCCTGGCTCAGCTCCAGCTGTTGTGGCCATTTTGGGAATGAACCAGTTAATGGAAAATATCTCTCTCTCTCTCTCTCCAACTCTGCCTTTCAAATAAATACATCTTTTTAAAAATAAATAAAAACAAGTTTATATGTGATTTTCTCCCAGGTATGTATGGTAGGTGTTGTGACCAGAAGTGTGTTCAGCAGAATAGCTAGGCTACTGACCATGACCAGAAGTACTGTCAGCAGCCAGAGCTCACCTACAGGAATGGCGTTCTGCCCAGTCACAGTGTGTCTGTCATGGCCCGGCTTGTTTGAAATCTAAAAAAAAAAAAAACAGATTCATGACTAGAGAGTGCCCAGCACCACACGACTCAGAATGTTCATTTGCAGTTGTTCCGAACCACCTCACCAAAACCACTTCACATTCCCTTCCTAAGCTCCATGTCAGCCAGGTTCTACATAAAACAATGCCACCAACCTGCCTCTAGGGAGTCTACAGAAATCATGCAGCTGTTGATGAGACTTCTTGAAAAGGCGAAGGTGGCACAGGGAACCTAATGCACAAGAAGACAGCAGTCCCCTTCCCCTTCGTCACAATGCACACCAATTTTTTCTGTCTCAAGTTTCGCCAAACCCCTTCTCTACTCCCACCACCACCAATTCCCCACCCACTCTTCTAACTTTGGCTCTACTTCAGTGTGTAAGAACTCTGATGCCCCCTTCTATGGGCAAAGTCTGAGGCAGAACTGTGTGTCTGCTCCTCTCTGCTGGTGTGACTACCAGGGACATCAGGAGAGAACAGGTCCAAGAGGGCAGGTGTACATATCACAAAAACATGCCCTCTCCAGTTCTGACTCCAGTCAGGCAGCCTGGCAGGGGCACAAGTAAAGTGTTAGTGAAGATCAGCATTAACACTCTTGTGAGGGCTTGAACTTGGCTGGTGGCAACAATGGCCAAAAGCAAGAGCCAGGTTCAAGAGACTTTTGAGGCAGGATTTATTGGGGAACGGAGCCCCTGAAGAATAGTGCTCAAAGTATTGGGTAGCTTTGCATTCGTAAGCCATCATGGTAACCTCAGGAGTGTGGTAGAGGGACTAAAGGCATGGAGGGATGCATGTCTGAACAACACTCAGGCTGCAGAGAAGGAGGAGAGCCAAGGATGGTGACTCACAAATGTCTCCACCCACTCCCCAGCTCTCTACAACCCTCAAGGAATCTTCATGGCCCCCTTTGCTTGCACATGCACTGCCCCTGATCCTTGGAACCATCATGCGTGTCCAGGGAAGAGGCGGAACCTACTGAAAAGGAAATGCAGCAAGAATTGCAAAGTCCTGGGCACCTACATTAGGCCTGGTTGATGATACTACAGAGTAATGGGGACAGAACTGCAGCATCATCTGTTAGGGATGAGATTCCTCAGCCTCCAGGAGCTGGAAGATGCCCCCTGATGAATGAACTATGAGCACTGCCACACTCTGTGTCCAGAGGGGTCCTTTGTCCTTTTCTCACATCCTGCTTGTATCTGATTCACATCCAAGTGTTCCATACACAGAGATAGGATTGTTTTTTTTTTGTTTTTTTTTTTTTTTTTATTTTTTGACAGGCAGAGTGGAGAGTGAGAGAGAGAGACAGAGAGAAAGGTCTTCCTTTGCCGTTGGTTCACCCTCCAATGGCCGCCGCAGCCGGCGCGCTACGGCCGGCGCACCGCGCTGATCCGATGGCAGGAGCCAGGAGCCAGGTGCTTTTCCTGGTCTCCCATGGGGTGCAGGGCCCAAGCACTTGGGCCATCCTCCACTGCACTCCCTGGCCACAGCAGAGAGCTGGCCTGGAAGAGGGGCAACCGGGACAGAATCCGGTGCCCCGACCGGGACTAGAACCCGGTGTGCCAGCGCCGCTAGGCGGAGGATTAGCCTAGTGAGCCGCGGCGCCGGCCACAGAGATAGGATTGTAATAAGCCATCATTTTTCTCCCCACATCAATAAAGTACAGTGATCCAAAGAGGAGGCCATCATGAGCAGTTACAGAAAGCAATGGATAGAGCCAGTGTTGTGGCACAGCAGGTTAAGCCACCACTTGCAGTGCTGGCCTTCCAATACTGGAGTGAGTGCCAGCAGGAGTCCAGGCTGCTCCACTTCCAATATAGCTCCCTAATACATTTGGGAAGGCAGTGGTGATGGCCCAAGTGATTATGCTCTGCCACCCCCATGGGAGACCCTGATGGAGCTCCTGGCTCCAGATTAGCCCAGTACCTGTTGTTGCAGTCATTTAGGGAATGAACCAGCAACACACTCTCTCTCTCCCCTTGATGCTGTCTTCAAGTAAATAAATAAATTTTTTAAAGATTTATTTATTTATTTGAAAGTGAGAGTTACACAGAGAGAGAAGGAGAGGCAGAGAGAGAGGTCTTCCATCTGCTGGCTCACTCCCCAGTTGGCTGCAGCGGCCGGAGCTGAGCTGATCTGAAGCCAGAAGCCAGGAGCTTCTTCTGGGTCTCCCACACAGGTGCAGAGGCCCAAGATCTTGGGTCATCTTCTACTGCTTTCCCAGGCCACAGGAGAAAGCTGGATCAGAAGTGGAACAGCCAGCTCTCAAACCAACAGCCATGTGGGAAGCCGGCACTGCAGGCAGGGGCTTTACCCGCTATGCCACAGCACCGGCCCCAATAAATTAAATCTTAAAGGAAAAAAGCAGTGGGCTTTGAAGGTGACCCACAGGTCAGTTTCTGCCAGGCTCCATTGTTTTCTGTAAACTTTCATGATTGCCATTATTAATAAAATTCTCCATTTTCTCTCATAACAAACTCAACTTCTCTTGAAACCAAGGAGAAAATATCTACTTGACTTCAACAAAACAAATGGTCTGGATTAAGTGACATCTTGGTCTCTGAAATAAATATTTGGGCTCACACCTGTTCTAGTCCCAAGGGCTCTCCACTGGCAGAGTGACAGGCTCTGCCCAGGTCCTCCACACACCAGCTTTCCAGGCCTTCTCACTCCCCCATCAACAGCCCACTCATTCATTCTCTGTGTGCAGCAGCCTTCCCCACCCACTTTCACACCCAGAATGTGCTGGGGCACAGCAGACACCTGTCACCTGCTCCTCTGGGGAGCCTCGGCCCTCTACATGACGGCATGTAACAGGGACTTGATGGACATTTCTGGAGGAAATATTGTTTGTATATTCATAACTATGATGGAAGAGAAAACGATAGGAAGAAATCCTTCTTTGCTATCTTAAAAGGGAAACAAGTGGCCAAAGGGGCCTTAGGAAAGTGGCACATTGGCCAGGTGGAAGCTGCCAGGCACGCTGAGGTGCTGAAAGAGGGGTCCTTCTGCTCCCAGCCAGGGCCAGCAGCTCCACCTTGCTCTGTTTGTGCAGAGTCTAAACAACAATCATGTTGGAGCTGCAATTTTTGTTTCCCTACAGCCTGCCTTCCTGCCCCTCCCCTCCATCCAACAGCCCAGTCATCCCCTCTGCCCCCCTTTCCTCCTCATGCACACCACTTCTTCACCTTTGCGTGTCTCAGGACCCTCCCTCGTGTCTGTAGTGTCCACTTTCTCTCCCTCCTTGTCACCCCCTCCTCCTCAAGCATCTAAGGAGCAGAGTTGATTTGGGAGCAGCCAGCAGCATTTGGGACCCTTGTACAATGACCTAAGTCAGAGCAGTGGGTGGCCAGCCAACCACTTCATGGGGCCAGCTTGAAGGCATGGAGGAGAGGAGCCTATCTGGGCACGTTCAGGTGTCTGGGGGCAGTAGTCTTGGCTAATTCTCAAAACCCCAGCAGACCAAGAAATGAGGCGGTCACAGGTGCACAATAACCTGTCCACTACCCCCTTGGCCGGTGGGATGGAAGCCCAGGTCTTTCGGCTGCTCGGCCAATTATTTCCAAAAAAGGCCTCTCTCACACCTAGCAAGGGGGCATATCAAGTTGATTCTTTTTCCAGCTGGATTTCGTTACTTAAGTGTCAACCATGGTAAATCGATTAAGTCCATTATCTCTTCGTCTAGGAGCTGGATATCTGCAGAGAGTTTGTTCTCTGCTTGCTTAATTCAGGCTTCCCAAAACAAGCGCCCTGCCTGGTTTCAAGAGTAACCCAGTAACACCCAAGGGTTGGGCAGACGACGTCCCTCTTACCTGCGCTCCGGGAGGCGCTGGGAGCGGGGCCGGCCCCGGCCGCGGGGACAAAAAGCAACGTCTTTGGCTCCTCGCCCGCCACACGCGCTCCCCGGCGCCCCTGGGGCCTTCCCTGCGTACCGTGTGGGGACAAAGCCAGAGTCAGAAGGAGGAGCGCGGGTAGCGGGGCGCCTGGCTTAGCCGGCCGCATGTCCGCGCGTGGAGGAGCGAGAGTGCCGGAGGTTCCCGGAGGATCCCGAGGCGGGGACCGCACAGTCTGCAGCCCAGGAGAGTGGTGGCGGGAACGAGATCTCCGCTACCTGGCCAAAAGGAGTCCTCCCTGCCCGCCTGCGTCCGGAGCACGTCTGGCTAGGGAAGCACTAGGACTTAGCCCGGTGCGTGCCGGAGCATGTGCGCCCCGGGGGCGCGGGGCGGGGACGGAGGCGGGGCGCCCGGGGACCACGGGGTAGTCCGGGGGGAAAAGGGCGTGTCCCGGCACAGGGGACCCTCGGACAGAGCCTCTGGCTCAGCCTGATCGTCGGGGCTCCCTCCGAACACCGCCCGGGGCGCGGGACCACGCACTTGTATCCCCCGTCTCCGTGTCCCCCGCGTCGCACCATTGGTTCTCGTGGGACTGAGTCCCTCGCTCGCCCAGCTCTGTTGAGTCTCTCTCAGTTCACGCTTCACGGGACCGGCGGGGTGAACAGAACAGGCAGCTTCCAGGTCTGGATGGGAGAAAACTGCGCCAATTTTCAATCTGGGAGCAGGCGGAAAGGTGTGGAGTTCACTTTCTTCAGCAGGGACCCCGGGTTCCGAGGGCAGCGTTCTCCCCGGGGCAGGGTGTCGCTGAAAGCGCAAACCATAGGCGCCCAACTGCCCGCCACCCTAGACATCCACGGGAAGCGTCGGTTTGAGCGCTTCGGCAGGTGAAATCGCTGAAGTCGACCAGAACCCCCAAGAACGCAGTGTTTCCAAGTTAGGGAATTCTCGGAGATTAAATCCACCTGTTCTTATCAAAATAAAGCGAGCAACTGTGATCAAACTGTGTTCTGTTAATTATTGGGGACTGCTTTGTCAAGAATATTGAAAAGTGTTGGAACTGCTTGTCAATCAATGGATTGCCAATGATCTCATATGCAAAGTGGCAAATAGGGGGTCCAGGGAAGGAGCAATCAAGAAAAACCAAGGTCTCTTCACTCATGAGTCCTTGCCCAGCATTACTCTACAAAGAGACCTTGTCCATCACAAACCTTGAAAAACATAGCTCAACTGGTACAATAGTTTATCTAGGCTTGGCAATTCCATCAGGCCCAGGAAACTAGGGGCAAGAGCAAGTTTTACAGAAGTCTTAACTGCAATGCTTGGGGGAATTACACAGGTGGAGACAGCAGCTTCCAATTTCCATTTTTAAAATCAAACATTTTTAAAAGAAGACAGAATTTTAAAAGGCATAAGTATTCAAAAAAATCTATCACTACATCTTCCCAAAATTGTTGATAAGCATAACTTTTGTTTAAATCATCTCTATTTCCATACATACGTATTTTGTACCTTCTTGGATAAAAAGGCTACTCTCTCGGAAAAGATGAGTAGAAGTCTTGTTTCACGTTAGCTTTCACTATTGATTCAGGGATTCCTGTTGGAAATTTAGAGTCTTGATTCAATTATGAATTTGTGGGACAGAATGGTAGCATAAAAACCTACGAGAACTTCTAAGAAAAATTAAATAATTTTGTAGAATTTATGGAATCAGACTCCTTCTTACAGCAATACATGGATACTTCTAAAGACTGATAGAAATTGGAATTAAAAGATAAGTATATATTGGTGCAAAAAGATTTTTGAAACTTCAATAAGTACATGGAATATACATTTTATGAAAAAAAACTACACATAAACTTCATGGCCATTATTGCTAGAACTTATGTTAATTTTTTCTAATCATTTTTTTCTGTATAATTATGACTTCCTACACAACTTTTAAAATAATTTCTTTTAGAGCTTTTTCTTGTTATATTCATGGAATTTTGTTGACACTTACATCTAGTCTGCAAGATTGTTACTTGGGGCCAGCATTGAGTCATAGTGGGTAAAGCTGCCACCTGTAATGCCGGCATCCCTTGTGGGCACCACTTCCTATTCAGGTCCCTGCTAATGGCCTGGGAAAAGCAGTGGAAGATGGCCCAAGCGCTTGCTTGGACCCCTGCTACACTTGTGGGAGACCTGGAAGAAGTTCCTGGCTTCAGCCTAGCCCAGCCCCTGGATGGAAGCTCGTTCTCTCTCCCTCCCTCTCTCTTTTCTGTAACTCTTTCAAATAAACAAATAAAATCTAAAAAAGAGAGAGATTGTTACTTAATATTTTACTCTCTATTTTTGCCTAAACTTCATTCAAAACACAAAGGGTATTCATTGAGAAATATATAGCATTTTCCATAAATATGATTTCAAAATCACATATGCTTTTCCCATATTGTACTTATATTTTTCTTCATTTTAATATCATTAAGAATACATAATAACCTGTATAAAAGTAGGTATTCCTTTTGATGCTCAAATAGCACGGTCTGGCTTGGAGACCAGCTGTCTCCTTTCTCGGCAGTCCTCCACAACAGCTGTGAGAGCAGCCTCACCTCCTAGCAGCAGCCACAGGGCTGGGCACATCCCATCGACTTCTACTCCAGAGAAGAGTGCGGGGCCGAGGAGGATCAGATTGCTTCACCTGAGGAAGCACTGCAGGCACCAAAGACTTACGTTTCAACAATAATGAAGACAGTCGGAGCTTAGCCTTGCAGCTAAGACATAAGAGGTCCTGCTGGTTCTCTCCTCAAATGGCCACAATGGCTGGAGGTGGGCAGATCAGAAGCCAGCAACCAGGAGCTTCCTCCTGGTCTCCCATATGCAGGCAGTGGTTCAAGTGGTACGATGCTTTCCCAGGTCATTAGCAGGGAACTGGATTGGAAGTGGAGCAGCTAGGACTCGAACAAGTGTCCATATGGTATGCCGGCATTCCAGGTGGCAGCTTTGCCTGCTGCACCACAGCGCCAGCCCCTCTTTGGTATTTTTTATCATTGGAAAAAAGAAATATTTTATAAATGTGGCATCTAAACATAAAAGAGATTAGCAAACTGCTTTCTCTCTGTGCAGTACTCCTTGTCCATATTTCCTTTTAATCAAGACCAAGCAACAGATTTTGTGATATATAAAAATATTTCCAAAAGTTTGTGCAAGGGCAAGCATTTAATGCAAGCAGGTCAGCTATCACTTGGAATACCTGCATCCCTGGATTGCTGGGGTTAGACTCCCAGCTCCAACTCTCGATTCCAGGTCCTTGATAATTTGCGTCTGGGAGGCAGTAAGTGATCAAACCCAAGGGGGAAACCCTGATTGAATTCTTGGCCCTGGCTTTGGCTGGCCAGGCCCTGACTTTTGTAGACATTAGGTTAATGAACCAGCAGATAAGATCTCTCTCACTCTCACTCTCATTCTTTGCCTTTCAAATTAAAAAAAAAAAATTAAGTTCATGATAAATGGAATCCATGATAAGTTTATTGTAGTGCAAAAAAAATCAATATCCATGCATACAAGTAGTTTTCTAAAAATCTCATGGAAAGTACATATTATGGAAAAACTATGCATGGATTTCAAAATATTTTGCACCATAATAAGTATCTTTTTTTCCATTTTCCACAAACTTTCTGAAGTACCAGTGTGTCTATACCAGACCTTTCTTGTCAGGTGAAGTGTGCTTGGGGATTCCACACTGACAGTCTCTGCCAGAGCACATATAATCTGGACTTCAGGAAGAAGCTGCCCCGGATTCATACTCAGATTGTGGTGTTGTAAAAAGTGGCTGCTGAAAATGCATCACATGCCATTAAAATAATGAATCAAGTGACAGTTACCCTTTTAATATATATGACTACTGTAAAGTGTACTAGTGACAATGCTCTTGAATAACTAGAAGACTGTGCTTAACATAATAAAAATTAGTCGTAATACAAAGTACTGGCACAGTACTAGTTAACAACTGCTAACTCAAGTATAGGGTACAACAGAGATTTTGATGGTGTTACTCATGTAATGTCAGAATTGTAAAAAGCTTAATTTATAAATGTTTGTGCATGTCCTCTCTCACATGTTCACCCTGAGCTATCTTCACATCCCTTTTATGATTCTGAGCAAGCTAAATGGCATACTTATGTGAAGTGGGAGGAAAATGATAATATTTATAACTCTAAAGTAAGTGTATCATAGCACATTCTATTCATATTTTTGAGCTGAGGTACAAAGACTAAAAAAAAAATACCAAATTGTTATATTCTTAGGTAAGCGTTTGAATCATCATAAACTTTAAAAGGCTTTCCTACTGTGAGCGCACATAAACCTTTCAAATAACAAGGATTAACTCACAAAAGTAAAAGAGTGAAATCTAATTTTAAGGTATTTGCTATTCAGGGCAGAATTAAATTATAAGGCACCACCTTGATCTTAAAGGAGAAACAAGACAGCATATACTGAAATGCCAAAAATGTGAGGCTAAGGAAAATCTAAAGGGACACTAGATAAGAGAGTCAGGGGACACATATCAATAATCTATGTACTGAGGTGAGAGATTGAATAAGTAAGAAGAGCTTCCAACAGTTCATGAAAAAAATAACAAGAAAAGAACAAGCAAAAGGAACAAACAAAAAGATAACTTTGAAGGGCCAGCATTGTGACATAGAGGGTAAAGCCACCCTCTGCAACGCAAACACCTGACATGAGCACCTGTTCGAGTCCCAGTTACTCCATTTCCAATCCAGCTCCCTTATAATGGCCTGGAAAAAGCAGCGGAAGATGGCCCAAGTGCTTGGGCCCCTGCACCCACATGAAAGACCAAGAAGAAGCTCCTGGTTCTTTGCTTTGGCCTGCCCCAGCTCGTAAGCTCGCTCGCTCTCTCTCTCTCTCTCCCTCTCTCTCTCTCTCCATGTCTTTCCTTCTCTCTATGTATTTCTGACTTTTAAATAAATAAATAAATTTTTTTAAAAGTTAAATTTGAGGTAGGCGTTTGACCTAGTGTTTAAGATAGCTGCTTGCCTTAATGAAGTTCCTGGGTTCCAATGCCCTGCTCTTGTTCCTGACTCCGGCTTCCTACTAATGCTCACCTTTGGAGGCAGTAGTGATGACTCAAATGATTGGGTTCCTGCCACCCATGTGGGTGACCTTGATGGAGTTCCCAGCTCTTGGAGTCATCAACATTTGGGAAGTGTGCCAAAGGTCTCCCTCTGTCTCCATCTGTCTGGCTCTAAAATAAATAATAAGTAAATAAATAACTTTATTTTGGCACAAAATTGTTTGAAATCCATGCATAAAAGGTATTTTCAAAAAGTTCATGGAGGGGCTGGTGTTGTGACAC